GATCCGACTGCAAAAATGAAGTATACAGTGAAGTGAAGTGAAGTGCAGTGAAATAAAATATTCTGCTCGGATATTCTTTTACGGACAGCGCATTCTGAGAATCGCTGGTCGTATTTTTAATTTCGAGTCATTGTATTCATTTTTACAATAGTAGAGAATTTTATTTGACAAGAATTGTTACATAAAATTGTGATTTCGTTGTCGATTAAAGCAAGTGGATTGTGGTCATTTTTACCTCGATAAAAGTGACTGCACTCTGTTTGTGGAGATCGATAGCGAAATCGAGAATTTATGTAATCGTGAAAGCAAAGAATATCCGAGTTACCGTAAAAATTCGCGAGTGATTTTTGTGAGGCTATGCCGAAGAGAGAAGAGGCTATATGCCGAAGAGCCCCGGCAAAGTTGCCAAAGAAGAGGGGAACTATTAATGACTGTCCATCCTAAGATCTTAGGATGGACAATCATTTTGTCACTATGCTCGCTAATATTTTCTTGTGTTTTACAGCTATGTTTTGACCGATACGAAAAGTATCGGCACGATTTGCTCGAATTTTTACGAGCATAGCCACTCGCGATTTTTGTATCCCTTCGCGATTCGAAATTTTTATGCCCACCCTATTAAAGTCCGAGATTAGAGATTTTTATATAATTTTGCGATTAAATTTTGAGATTAGAGATTTGCATATCCCTTCGCGATTCGAGATTTTTATACTTTCGCGATTTTATTACGAAATTAGAGATTTTAGTACCCCTTCGCGATTTTATTACGAAATTAGAGATTTTTATATCCCTTCGCGATTATATTTCGAGATTCGCGATTTTTATATCCCTTCGCGATTTGTATATCCCTTCGCGATTTTAATTTCTCCGAATTTTATGTGTTAATTATTTTTCTCTGTTTCAGGAATTGATTTTATATAAATTGTTTTATTGTTGGTTGATCTTTCGTAATTTTCATTGTGTGTGTTTTCTGCTTCTCGATAGAGTCGTTTCGCTTCTTCTCGTAAAATTTTCTATGTTGATAAATTTTTGTATGTTTCAGAATTTGATTTTTCTCTTTTCAAAAATTTAATGTTAATAAATTTTTGTCTGTTTTAGTGTTTCTTCTTTGTTAAGTTCTATTGTCTTCTCAAATCCGCAATTTTCATTGCGTTTTCTATGTTTCGAAATTTTTGTATGGAATAAAGAAAAATTTTCTTTCTCCTCCCACAATTTAATGTGTTAATAAAGTTTTGTCTGTTTCAGAATTTAATTTTTGGTAAGTCCTTACATTATTCTCTGTTCTGAAATTTCTGTGTTAATAAATTTTTGTCTGCTTCAGAAATGAATTTTTGGTAAGTTCTTACATTGTTCTCTGTT